GTCAAATGGTTCTGCGATGTCATGTAAGGAGGAAAGAATACTGACAGCGACTTTGAGATTATTTCTCACAGTGATGACCTGCTCAGCTGGATATACTAAGTGAAGAGATCAGTAGGATTCAGCAGGAACTAAGTATGTTTGCTTAGGAATAGACTGATTAATTCTCAGTTAGTAATTGCTCATGCTCATTATTATTAAGTAAAGTTATCCAAAACCAGAAAGTAAGGCCAAGGAGATGACTGTGTCTTTTTATTACAAGGGAACAGCTGAGTACTATTTAGTTTTCTAGGAGAAAGAACCATTGACTCACTTTGCTATTATTCTTAGTTAAAAATTTAGGCTATTAATGTACGTGTTAACTAGATTTGTGTCAAGCAGAGATGTAATTTCTGTTCAGAAGAAAAATGACTCCAAAAGTTATGTTTTATTGCCCTACAGGTCATTGCCCAGTTTTTTATATAATCTAGCTATTTTATTCAATTATTTCTTTATTAAATTGAGTATATACTTCCCACTTCTTCAAATGCACGCTTTAAAACATAACAGCTTTTATGAGATATATTCACCTCCCATACCTTTGCTCATGTAAGTGAACTTGACAATTTACTGATGTCTAGTACATTTGCAGTTTCAACCATCACCACAATCAATTTGAGAACAATATTATCACCCCTAAAAGAAACTCCATACTTAGTTTAGCAGTCATTGTCCACTCCCTCTCAGACCCCCAGATCTATGGATCTAATTTTATTTCATTTTAGTGTTTGGTGTGAGATAGGGTCAAACTTCAGTCTTTTGCATGTGGATATTCAGATATTCCAGCATCATCTATTGAAATGAATAGTCTTTCCCATTGAATTGTCTTAGAATTCTTTTCAAAAATTAATTGAACATAAATATGAAGGCCTTTATCTGGACTCATATTTCTATCACATTGATCTACATGTTTATCCTCATGGGTTATGGTAGCTTTGTAGTAACTTTTGAAATCAGGAAGTGTTAGGACTCTATCTTCATTCTTATTTCTTTATTTAGCTATTCTGGATACTTTGGATTATCATATGAATTTTAGGATCAGTTTGTCAATTTTTGCAAATTAGCTGGGATTTTAGTAGACATTTTATTGAAATTTTACATAAATTTGGGTAGTATCTCCATCCCAATAATTAGTCTTTTGGCCCATGATCATGGGATGTATTTTTCATTTATTTAGGTCTTATTTAGTTCCTTTCAATGATTTTCTATAGTTTTCAGAGTATAAATTTGATACTTTTTATAGTTTTTAAGATATATAGTTCTGAATAATTTTCTTTGTTGCTGTTGTAAATGGATTTATTCTCAATTTTATTTTTGGTTGTTCATTACTAACATATTGAAATACAATTAATTTGTATTTTAATCTTGTGCCCTATAAGTTTGCTGTACTCATTACTTCTCATAGTATTTTAGTGGATTACTGAGGATTTTGTATTTAGAAGATCATTTTCCATGGAAATAGAAATTTTTTTTATTTCCGATCTGGATAACCTCCCTCTTCTCTCTCTCTATCTTTTTCTCCTTTACCTCTCTGTATATCTGTGTGTGTGTGTGTGTGTGTGTGTGTGTG